CTTTAGGCTAAAACAAATGTTTACATATAAAAATGTTCTTGGATACAAAAAATTCCTAATGATTTTATTTTGCTTTTTTAACTGCTTTCACATCCTCCCTGCTTTGTCAGTCAGATCACACTGAAAGACATTGTTATTTTTACAGTCGGACCAGAACATTATATTTAACCCATACTCCTACTGTAACCTCAATATAATGTCATTTTAATCACTGCTTTAAAAATAAGTTTCTACCTCATTAGATATGTATTTCAAAACTGCTAGTCCACTGCTATAAACAAACAAAACACCTACGCTAACAAATAAGGATAGTATTTAATGAGGTCTCTGATTGGCCGGCCAGTCCTGTGTTGAGGTAAAGGAAGTCCTGAGCATCGTCATCTTGGTTAGGAAAGGAATCCTAGGAGGAAAAAGAGGCAAAGTTCAGCCGAGTCCATTACTCCTCTGATGGTAGTTAGATCAAAGTAAACACTGATAATGGCTCAACCACAGTTAATAATACTGCTGCCCGAGAATGTCGACTGGGCTGGCTACTCCCGACCACACACACACGTGCACACATACACACACACACACACACACTCCTCATTCCTCAATGGCAGTGACACATTCCAAGTTTTCTTCCTCTCTTCCCACAAACCAAACACTGCTCACTCCTTCTTTCTAATTGTAGATTTATTTGATGTGCACAGGGAAACCAGCTCCCCTCAATATGCGCTCCCATCGGAAAACATGCGTGATCACACACTGCACACACTTGCATACAAATTCCATGCATATAGTACATGCAGCTACAGGCATTATAAATATAATAGACAGAAACCTGACTTATCTCTTTTCAGAGACTTCCCACCCCCACCCTAACACATACACACACTACAGCCCTTACTCACTTTTCTCCATTCACAAAGACGTGACAGAGGACCTGTCAGGTTCACTTCCATCAAGTTGTACTTGGAGGGAAAAAACCAAGTTAGCTTTATGTTTTAAACCATTAAGGATTAAATCTCCCTTTCTTTCTGTTTTTCTTTCTGTGTTTGTACTCTCTAACTCCAAATATCAGCCATAATTGTACAGTTGTAGAAGTATCTAAATTAAAAAAAAATCTAAATAAATGTAAATATAAAAAATGTTAATGCTTAATTTTGTAAGTGAAGAGCCAGTTTGCAGGAAATTGTTGATAATGCATGTGAAATGATGAATGATGTATGATAATAACCCTGGAATTGGAGTCAAAACACTGTTTCCAAGCCCCTATGGCATCTGCTCTGTTGGATATGCTGTAGCATTTAAAAAAAAAAAGGTTAAAAAACTAATTTACAATAATTTGGTTTAAAGTTTAACGGTTCTGTCAAAATCTGATAACTGGCTTTAAATCTCAACTACCACCCTCTAATTTAGGCTGCCCCCAAAGCAGCAGGCAAACAGAAAAAGAAAACTTCCAGAACGAGGGGGAGGTCATATTTTCTTCCCCTCTGCTGTGACCCCGTTGTTTGCAATGTGGGAGATTGTGTTTCAAACCTCAATAATGTGATAAAGTGAGGAGAAGATGATGTATAATCCAGGTTGGGGGCCTTTTGCTCGTAAGCACTGTAAGATGAGTCCAGTGTCAGTGGTTTCCCACTGAGGGAGAAGCCGGCTGCTGTCCATCTCAGCTTTATCACCACCATCACTCAGCTCCACTGAAGTCAGAGGAGAGCTGTTTGGTCTCAGAGCTGTTTTTTGAAGGGGGGCTTCACAATGGCCCCATCCTTCACAGTGGTGAAGACATAATGGTGACAAAGCACTTTAACATGGAGACAGCAGAAAGGTGAGAGAAAGGAGGAGGAAGAAGAAAGGAGCCCAGACAGTGTGTGATTGTGGACCTCTCTGTGTTGGCTCACACGTGGCCCAGACTAAATGGGTGTGAGCCACATTTGGGCCACATTTGCACGTTTGGCAATTTTGTCCTGCAAATATGTGGTGTTCCAGGTCTTGTGTAACCTGGAGGTTGGGGTCTATTTATTGTGTATAAAAGTGTCACTAAAGTAGAGGTTTATATATTTTATTTTTGTAGAATTTCAGACAGACAAAGGCAACTCTTTATCATCAATTTTCAGTGTTTTTTAGACAATGCCCAGCCTCATTCTGCACAGTTACAAAAGTTTTATTTTGTAGATACTGAATGTAGGAATTGAAAATGCATGGTGCATCACAGAGTAGAAATTGACAGGTGATTCATTCTATACAGCTACAGTAGGTGCTGAACTGTATTATCAGGTCTGAGCCTGGGAAAAAAAAATCAAAGTTAATGCGATGTTACTGAGTGGTTATCATTCCAGAAGATGTCCTTAATTTACAATCTTGATGGTGAGTTAAAAGAAACCGAACCCTTGTCCAGACCTTACAATGCCCTGTTCAAATGCATAGCCTGTAGTAGTTGTAGTAGAAGTAGTTCTCTCCTGCCTAACTAATAAATCAACTCCTTTTTTTTTTTTTTAACTTTTACCCAGAGGTGAAAGCAGAAGTGCAGGTTTGTGCCGAATTTCACCACCATCACCACCACCACCTCTCACCTCAATCAGCCCTCACTGCCCTAATCCACTGTTTACATAAAACACTGGGCAGTAATGATAGCCATGAGACCGTGGACCACCCCACATCCCTACACACCTTCCTCTCCCCGACAGCCCCTACCACCTACCACCACTAACCCAAAGCTGTTTTCACAGGAGCCAAAAACTTTAAATACATAATTAGCAGGGTCATTTGTGCGATGCGGGCCCCTGCGAGGGCATGAGCGTGTCCATGTGAGCTTGTTGGGGTGAAAGAGGGTGAGTGAGGAGTGTAGCTGGGGGGCTGCATACAAAGACTTGCGAGGGACACGGACAAAGGGCTGCATTCATGGCTTTGGCCCCAGACAAACTTGGCTGTCGCCATCTTCAAAGGCCACCTCTGCCTTTCCTCAAACCCAGAAGCCGCAGGTTGGGGCCGAGAGGAGAAACATAACAAGGCGACATGGAGGGAGAGAGGAAAGGGGTGGATAGGAGAGGTTAGAGAGGGGTGTGAGTAATGAAGCAAATGTTACAAGATGTGTAACCGGGGAAATCGGGGATGTGGGCTGATTCCTCAGCACTTTCAACAGTGTGGACATCCGTCAGGTTTATGACAATGAAAGTTTTAGCAGTATAAAAATAAATGGGATTTTTTCATTTGTAATTTAGACGGAATATACAGTCAATATCAAAATGGAGACTGATAATGGGTAAGATTGTACCTAAATCTTGTTATTCTGAACCCCTTCTGACCTTTGACCCTGTGCATTGTTTTCATATCACAGTTTACACTCGGGGAGAACTCAGAATTCCACTCCACCTCGTTTCACACCAGGAGACCTTTGTTTTCTTCAGCTGAACACACACTTTCATTCCAGTCCATTCAGCCGCCCATTTTTCACACCTTCACTTTTCCCGTCGTCCTCTTACGGCCTGGTTTGTAAAGGCAGGTTGACTCAGTGCTGCCCAGTCTGCCCCGTGGGCTGTGGTGCTGATTACTCACATCCTGAATCTACTTGTTCTTTGTTCTTACGTTTCCTCAGTTTCCTCTTCTGTTTACACTCCTTTCTGCACTTCAGCAACATTTACTAACCGTCATTTCACCGTACAGCTCTTTGAGGCCACCTTAGTTTTATTATTATCCTCCTCTATCATCTCAGATCAGCCACCTTGTGTTGTCTTGTATTTCTTTTTACTGTTGTTACACTGTGTGGCTTAGTGAATAGCAATTTTAATCCTCTCAAATTGACATGAAATCTGCCTTTGACTTGGACTTCCCCCAACGTTACATGTTGTTCTTTCTCGTACCTACATGTTTGAAGTAATAACTCCTTAACCCTGTGTCTGACTGAGGCAGTGCACGTCCGGTGCAATAGAAATAAAACCGTTTCTCTTCCTTTACTTGTGGCTTTATTCACGATATCTCCCGGTCCACTGGCTCACAGTGCCGCTGCCTCTCTGATTCTTCCACTCTTTCATGTCGTGCCCTTCCTTAAATTGTCCGGGAAGTGCAGAAGAGAAGGACTTTAATGTTCCTAGGCTCTGAGATTAGGGTGAGCTGCAGAGGAAAAAGCAATAAAGCCCCCCAGCACCGAGCTTGGAGCTGCTGGAGGATGCTGGACTGAAGCCGAGCTACTGCTCAGCCTGCAAGCCTGGAAAAGCTCACATTTCCTGTATACACCAACACCAGCCTCACATTCAGCTTCTGTCCTGCCTCCTGCAGCAGCACCAGCAGCATGGACTCATGTATCTATTCTTTTTCTTCATATTTTACAATTATGTTCTGAACTGTGTTAAAGAATGAGCCTTTTTAAGTGTCTATAAGAGAATTTCAATCATAAATGCAAAATGCACATTTAGTCGAATTCAGCCATTTTTGAAGCCATTACTAAAAATAATGGACATTTAGAAGGACCAGAGCACGATGTAAAGATGTCTCTGGTCTAATCCTTTCAGTTGAGCGATCATGGAGACTGTTTCAGTTTTGTTCTTGTCTGGAATGCAGTGATCAATAGTTTGCTCTTCGATAGTACTTTTGTATCATCCTAGTGAGCGTCAAAGCTCCTTCAACTAATTTGCATTCATGCAGCCTTTTTTTTTTACTGTTCTTCTGTTACTTAAGTAACTTGACATTCCAAAGCATTTCAGAGGCCAAAGGGAAAAGGAGACAAGTATCCTGGCCAAGGACACATCTCCTTTAAAAATAAATCCCCCCACCTTTAATCTACAGCCAAACTTCAAATTTTTAATTTATATTGTCAATAAACACTTTAGTTCCATAGTTGTCTGTTGATCAAACCGTTGAACCCTGTTTTTGTAGTATTAGCTTTTTATTTGCCCTGAGGGCATCAGAGTAAATAAGTTCCCATGATCCCACAGTACCTGTCCCAGTCTTCCATAATTGATTATAAAAACAATGTACACAATTCTGAAGATTTTCCAATGAATCTCGGCACTTTTATGACATTCTTTATAAGCAGAAATTCATTTATTGTTGGAAACATAAATATATAAATTATGATTATTGCTGTATTCATCCAATGGGAGCACACAAGAGAAGCAGTAAAGGCTTAGCATCCTGGTATTTATCTTCAGCATGGTCCCTGTTTAACTCAGAACAGTGTTACATCGGAGCGAATGTGAACAGTGACAAAACATCGGCCCGGGAAACATAGCACCAATTAACCAATGGTAACTGTGTACGTGTGTGTGAGTGAGTGTGTGTGTGAGTGTGTGTGTGTTGAACAGACAGCCGTGTTTTCAGTTCATTTCCTTCTTTTTCACTTCCTTCAACTTTACTGACTGTCTCTTTAACCCTGACTGCTTAAAACAAACTTCCTCTGTGGAACAAGTGGACGATGAGTGTTGTTTCTGCACCATATCTGCCCGGTTACACATTCATCCCTCTTTACAGGAAAGGGTAAAATGTTCAAGGAAATTGTTTGCTCCGTCACGGCCACACAGGCTGCTAAGGAGAGAGATTTGTTCTCCTGCCAACCAATGACTAAAGACTGGCCAAACAAGGAGTCCATTCATGCACCTGTCCATTTTGTTTTTGCTGGTTCTTGAAGTTGGACTTTGATCTTTACAGGTACGGGGTGTTTTGTTTGTGAATCAGAGATCATTGGCATTTTCCTTATCAGAGTTGTAGTGATATCAATGGAAAAACATCATCATGTAACAGTGACAAAATACGCAAACACTCACTCACACAACCACACACACCTATTCATTCACCCACAGGTGCACACACACACACAGTCTACCCCTTATCATTTGAAGACATGGACATTTTTTATGATTGGCTACATCAAAGATTTTTGTCATGGCTGTGATAAAGATACAGCACAGCCACCATCACTAAAGTTGCCATGTTTACACCAGTCTGCTCCACCTCTGACACTGATCCACACACACACACACACACACACGCCAACAATCACTTTTATCCCCTCCCTTATCTACAGTATCACACCATCTGCCTGTGTTTTTGCACGGTTCATTGGATTAAATACAGACATTCAACCACAACAAAAGAACATCATTCCTGGTTGGATATGAGTAAGCATAATATATTTCATAACAAAAATAAAGCATCTTCCTCTCACATCACATCTCGTCCCTGCACACATTTACAAGACTTGACATCTTTTAGATATACTGTAATATAATAGGAAAAATGGATGAAGGGAACGACGAAAGTAAAGAGACTGAGATTGTGTTACTGATGATTGCAAAACAACAGACCTTTTTTTGCATGTTCCGAAAACTCTTAATAATATTTCTTGTTCTTTCATACTAGAAGAGACAAAAACCAAAAATGTCCACGTGTATAAATAGTTTGTAAGTAGCGGTGCATCTTGTTCAGGCTGAACTGTACATGGAAGGTGGGAACAGTCACAGACCACCAGAGTTCTCTGAGAAGATCTTTTGTCCATACTCAGAGAAAACTCCAAATTGTTTGACGCTCCATGGAGAGTCATTTGAAAAAAAAAAAATCAAACACCTCCATAACTCTCCGGTGTTTTTCTATATCTGTCTTTCTTCCTTCCTGTGTGTGTGCAAAAGTCATTTAAAGAGGGCAGGGCACTTTTAATGTTGCCCAGCTGGAGGCCGTCCACCGCTGTTTCCTAGTCTGAGCACCAGATTCCCACGAAAGCTTGATTGATCTGTTTTATAGCCATTTCTGTTGCACGTCTTGTTCAAACAAAGTCGGTGAAAATGTTCAACACAAATCCCTTTCATCATCTCCCATCAGGCCTCTGACTGCCCCTGCCTGAGCTCCACAGCACAAGTTCTCTTTTCTTCTTAATCATTGGCAGGTTTCCCTTGTCTAAGTAGGAGGTGTACCACGGAGGAAGTCATCACAGTTTATTCTTGTTATAAGCACCTTTGGCATCTTATATAAATTGTCCGTCTATTAGTTCTGTCTCTCGTCCTTATAGAAAGGTTGGTTTTCTAAAACGAAGGTTGCACAGCAGCGGGAAAGAGCAGGTCTCATGATGATGACGTCCATCGTTAGGGTCCCTCCCACTCTGAAGTCCCTGGTTGTGACTGTTCTCACCTCACGTCCACTGTAGAGGAGAAAATAAAAAGTTCAGCTTAGTGTTTTTACCTTGTACAAATACAACACCCTGTGCATTACATATTTGATGAATCAACTGAATAATAATAACAATAATAATAAAATGTCAATGTGGCTCATGCAAGTTAGAATACTTGTCACAAATACCCCAAAAGCATCTGCATTATGTTTTTTTTCCCCAAATTTGAAAACATTTCAGAATACAATTTTTTTCCCCATAAACCAAACATTTCTTTACGTGACAGGCAACAATTAGTGATTACAACATTAGGATTTCACTGGGGCTGTCATTTTTCTTTATCCAAATCTCAGTTTTTCTTCTTTTGCCATTTTCATACTACTGTTAGCAACTGCACACTACAGTAAATAAGACTCTCTTTTTTTCAGAAAAATTGACAGCCCAAGTTGTGACAAAATGGAACGCTTAAACACCACAAAATAGAAAAAATAAATAAATAGTGCAACGTACTGCAAACATACAGTGGATTTTCTCTTAATTTTTGACAATACCAGAACGCAGAACCTCATTACACAGTGACGTGAAGCAGACGTGCGCGGTTGCATGCGGAGCAGGCTACAAATCAACATGCAGCATTGGGACATAAGACACTCCCTCTTCTCACACTGATTGGCTGTGATGTGATTGGTGATGGTGATTGGCAGAACCTCTGTGGGCCCTGACTGGGCCAGTGCAGCGCCACAAGGTGAGAGGACACCACGGTGCTAAAGTCCTACCTGTTCCCTTCACAGCTCTCCATTGGACTTTGGGCAATGAGTGCAACTTTATTATGTTGCCAATAAATCCTTGCTGGCCCTTAGATTGTTAGGTTTCCTTTTTTTACCCTTAGCCCTACGATGGCCTGGAAACACAAAGTTGGGTAGGGAGGATAGGAAGTTGGGTTAAAAGCAAGCAGCAGGGTTTATAGTACAGATAGAGGTACATCAGCCCGGGGACAGAAGCAGAGAGTGCAAAGATATAACACACTAAATAGTTCAGATGCCTTATCAGCAGATAAACACCTCGCTGTGCTTATCTGCTGTCAGTGCAAAAAGCTTCAGATCAATGCATTGGATTTACCTGCCATGCCGAACAGCCTTTGAACACCGCTCCTTAACACACTGGCGTTAAGCTTAGCATATATATACACACACACCCACACACAACTCATCATACAAGCAGGTGTAAACACACAGGGTTTATAGTTTTGTGATTGCAGACCACCTGACAGGTGTGTCTAAGAGACGGGGTCATTCAGTGCAGAAACCAGTAAGCAGGACAGAAAAGGACCTTCAGGAGAAGCATGAGGAAGCGAGCAAAGGAAGTTGATTTAAAACAACGTAGGACATGGGGGAAAGTCACAGCCTTTAAATTCAATCTCTGAGTTTGAATTTATCTGCAAGGGCCAACACTGGTGACATTCAACCTAAGGACCTGGAATCTTCAGGACAAACTTACTTATTTCTGCATCTGCATGCTCCACCACGTGGTGATGGTGTGATGTGCACACACACTCCAGGTGGTCTTCTAGTCGGACAAACACCTCTTTCAGCTTGGGTTTCCTCCTCACATACTCCACCTTGGCCACCTGAGGAGAAGAAGAAAGAAATGATAAGCTACAGAACCAGGTCCAGCACATTGTTCTTTACCGAGGGGCCATCCGTGAATGCACACACTTTTCAGCCAGTATGCCGAGGCGTAGCACCATGACTGATGACTCTTTCATGAACCAATTTTTAAGAGGAAAAAATAACTACACTGTTGCCTTGTTTCGCTGTGTTTGAAGTGTGACGGCAGAATTCCTCAGAGGAATGATGTATTGAATTGCACTGGCTGTGTCCTCCAGATGATTGGATGTGTAAATATCGGAATAGCATGTATGTCCAAGGGACATAAGGGAGGGAGAGAGAGAGAGAGAGACCGAGGGACATAGTGTGTGCCCTCACACCCAGAGAGAGGTTACTCTGGCAGGGGAAGAGAGACTAAGGCACCCCAGCCTGGAGCATCCACACTGAGACAGACTCACAACCCAACACCCTTTCCTTGTCCAGACATGTTTTAAAACCACATTTTGATTCCTCTTTGGAAAAGTCTTGCTTAATACTGTATGTGTATGAAAGGAAAACAGTTTACACATAGTAATACAGCAGATTCTCCATCATCCTCCTAGATTTCTCACCCCAGTGCTGAGTTATGAAACCTTTATGATCATTCAAGCTGCTGGATAAAGGTGACCCCGAGAGGTCACATCAAGGTTACAATGATTTTTTTGATTGTTTTCGGTGGGGGCCTTTTTCATCAAAGCGCCAAGAACAGGCCAACAACCGCATTTTCCGTAGAGGGCCCCGGGGCCACGGCTTCAGCCGTTGTTGTGGTTGCAGCTCAAGGGTGGATATGTACTGACAATCTCCCTGTGCTCTTCAATGTTATCAAAAACATGGATTTGTGAGTGAGAGTCTCTCTCTCTCTCTCTCTCACACACACACGCACAGACAGATGGAGTGCCAAAAGTGATGAGAAGCTTTCTCGCTTTATCCTGTGGCACCATGCCAAGCCTTGAATCTTGACGTTGAATTAGTCATGCAGACACTTGACTAACCATACCAAGCTGGTCCCCTGCAACAGTCTCCTTTGGTGGAATGAAATAAAAGAAAGAGAGTGATTGGGGGGGAAAAGGGTAAGCAAGCAAGAGAAGTATGCAGTGAGCAAATAGAGGACAATAGTGTCTGGGTTAGCAGCGGTGTGTTTACTGTTATCAGGCTCTGATAGAAAGAAAGACAGACGGGACGAAAGGGCCGTAACAAGTAAGAAAGGAGAGCAGGCGTGTGAACATCACTCACTCAGTGGCATGTACTTGTGTGTGTGTGTTTTGTAGTTTGTGTTACCTGCCTAAGATCATTTCTCATACTGCTGCTGATGTTTTAGGACCAACACCTGGTCCTCATAAGGCAGATCCTCAGGTCTGAGGCTCCGGTGAAAGTTATGAATGAAAGTAGAGCTCTAACAAGAATATCTGCACAAACCCCAGTGTGTGTCTGCTAACAGTGGGGGTTATTTAGGGGGGAGGGAGTGACCATGATCATGACTAGCCTTAAATGACATTCATGTGTTACTCATTAACATTTAGTGTCTGGGTTAGCCACCAGAGACATTTATTTATGCTGACACTAAACACTGTGATGGTAGAAATAGAAGTTATCAAAGTGAAGTAAAAGAACAGAGAGCTGAAAAAAAAAAAACAGCTAAGCTGAGTCTTTATGTGGGCCTTTAAAGGTAGCTACGAGATGACAAATGTCAACACGTTCTTTTTCTTTCATGTTTCTTGTGTGATGTTATGGGAAAGTGATGATGACTATGTCAGCCTTTACTTTTACATCCATATCAAATTTCCATTTCCTCCATTTTTATCTTCAACTGCTTTTAAGGAACACCACTTCTTTATCCAGAGTCAATGACTTCTCACATAAAATATACATCAGACGGGACCCCCATGGTACAACAAGGGGCCCCTCACTCTCTTTGTATAAATCAAGCTCTGAAAAAAATTTCCTAGCAAACCCGGTGCTGAGAAATAGTCCCCTGAGTGGGTGTGGAATGATATCTAGACCAAAAGGTTGAGGTGAGGAAGGGGACTCTGGGATGTGAACCCCCTCAGTTTGTGCTCCGAGTCTCTACGGGCCTCTGTGTGAAGTTGTCCTGTTTGGGTTAATTGGAGATTCCCTGCTCAAACGAGTGCTGATGAGAGCATGATGGGAGGGAAAGTTTCACCGCAGCCTTCCAAGGAAAACACAATGGGGATGTGGATGTGCACTGTGGCCCACCATGAACTGGAACAGTGACAGGAGTGAGGAAAAATAAACAGGAATGTATAGACATGTTGGAAAAAATGGGGGAGGTGAAAGGTGGCAGGGTGTGAGGAAAATTAGGAAATGGAGACACTCAGAGTTTGTTCCCTGCACAGAAGCAACTGTTGTTAGGATGCTGCTGCAGTGACTGAACAGAGGAGGGAAACATCTGGGGGAGGATGATCGGAATGAAGCTTTCTGTGCTGTTGTTTGTCTTAAATTTTAAATCACACATATGAGACAAAACAACACTCTAAAGACTGGCGAGATGATTTGGTGAGGACTGTAGTGAACCGCAGAAGACGCAGAATGAACACCAGACGAAAACAGCTCTGACAACCTGCTGCTGCCCTTCGCTTCAACCCCTGCCATAAAAATAGTCACGACAACGTGTTAGAGTGCTCATCACGAGTGGTGTGTGGAGGACGGTGGAAACAACCGGAGCATTTGTCACTTCTCGTGCAATTGCGATGCCCCAAAAAAGAAACTTCAATGCAGAGGAGCTTGACCACATCATGTGCTCTGCAGCTCTAAACCTCAGAAATTGAAAGAATTGTTTTTACGATCTCAAATATCAAAGTCAGTGTAATCTTTTCACTTCTTTCTTAGAGAACAGGAGTGCAAATGAGATAGACGTTTTGGTGGAGTTAAAGGGAGAAGTAAATAAGATTTTAATGAGAGAGTAAAAACGACAGCCGTGGAGACTGACAGTATGGCCAAATTAAAGAGTGGGAGATCGCTGTTTCACAGAGAGGCAGAAAGAGCGAGGAGGGAGTGAAGGGTATTTCTCATGACAGACTCCAAGACAAAAACGTTAGCCGCTGAAGTCAGTGGGGAAGACTGAAAGGGAGGACAGGAGAAGAGGAGTCAAGGAAAATAAAGAAATGAAGTAAAATATGATTACAGTACGGCTGCTACTTTTTCTGCCCCAACTGATGCATTCCATCTGCTGCAGCGGTAGCCAAACTCTCCCAACTTCTGGCTTGGTCGGAACGCTCCCATGGTCTCTGACCCGGCCCACACCCCCCGCCGTGCACGACACACACACACACATTTATACACACAAACTCCCTCACCCTTCCTCATATAGTAGAAATACTGAGTGAATCAAAGGGAAAATAATTCACAGCTGCAAAGGACTTCAAAAAAGGAGGCCCCTCGTTCCCCGTCTGCCCTACTCCCCCCCTCACATAATCCCCTGGACCCCTCAGACGATCATAAATCATGCTCACTGTATCACCGTCACACTGTCTTTTATTTATGAAACACCCCGTAAGTCAGGGTCCCACACAACCAGTGGGCTACTGCTACTGCTTCCCCCAGCGCCCGGATCTGACCCACTGTCACTGTGTGTGTATGTTAGTGAGTGACTGTGTGTGTGCAGGGGTCAGAGCCAGGGCCAGTGCAGATAGATGTGTGGACCCCCACACTCAGCACTGTGGCTATATCCGCCTGGCCGCTGTCAGCCTCCTCTTTGATCCAGCAGCCATCAACACTTCATTACTTCTGCTGCCCGTCTTCCTCCTCCTGCTGCTGCGGCACATAAATGGCCCTGTCCCCACGCAGCGGTGATGGAGTTCAGTATACAACACACACACACACACAAGCATCTCCTTCACAGGTTTACACAGATGTGCAGTGATGACCCTCTCTGACCTTTGCACTTATGCTGCTAACATTTGCAGCTACTGCACCAAACTCACTGAGAGGAACTGAACTGTCATGGCAGATTATCACATGCTTATGAGCTGTCTAACAGGTCGCCCAGACTGTGACAATCGCAGCAACATTAAAGTACAGCTATTCTATAATGTGTCGATCAGATGATGTGAATAGATACGAGTGTAGATGAGCCTGTTTGAATTATCTTTATGGGGCTTTATATGCATTGTAGCCATAAACAAAATGCAGCACGTACTGTATAAAGCTTACAGCGTCACTACAGTACTTTCCCTGTACATTGATCTCACCACCTACTTTATTTATTCCTGGACTAGAAGACGCTATTAGAACATGTTTCTGCATTTTTGTCTGTCATAAAAATATATATTTTGATACTGATCTAGGGATTCTACAATGAAATCAGACATAGATGAGAGATCAGAGGAAATGACTGTGATATGAAGGATCTACTCTGAAATTCTTTCTCTTTTACTCCCACACGTTCTGTCGTATCTACTGTAAACTGTAGCAAATCTAAGAACGGGAAAAGGCACGATTTTACAGCAAAAGGGCATCAGGGTCTGCCAAAAAGGCGGGTGAGGGGTGGGGGGGAACATGCAATAACCACTGAAGTGAAGCGTGGTGTCACTGAAAGTGCAAAGGGCGTGGAGTGCAGGTCAGAGGAATGCTGGGATGGTGATGAGATTGTGAAAACGTATGCTCATTAAGATTTGAGTCTGACTCTGTCTCACTGCAAAGACACTGGTGTAAAAAATGTAGGTAATCACGGGGGACTCTGGAGTGGACCCGTGGTTACAGTAATCAGAAACACCTGGGCCGTTCCTACTGGGAAAACTTAAACTGTCTACTGTGAACAAGGCCTATGGTTTATGAATGCATTTAGCTGTACTGCAGTACTGTGCCGTCGCCATGCGGACAACACTACTTAATGAAATCTGCAAAATGTATAAAAAAAAACATGAGAACGCATGAGAAAGAACGTGGGAGGGAAAAAATGAAAGAGCGATTTAAAAACCTGCCCTTCTTTTTCCCCCTCAGGTTAGCTGTATTAATGCAGGCTTATTTCACTGCCTCTAAACAGGACTTGTACAGTACAGGACTTGCACAGACCCGTTCTCTTTTTTTTTGGAACCATAACATGAAAAAAAAAAGAGAGGGAAGAATTAATCACCAAAGTTTGCACTAAAAGAAAATGCACAGTGGCATGAGATGGAAAGACACACAGTGCATGTGTTCTATTCCTATCGTTGGCAAACAGAAGCAAAACAAGTCAGAGCTGCAGAGAGCAGACAGGCAACAGTTTTAGTTTTCTAATAAACGCAGGGTGAGGCACAGACTGAACCCCTATTCAGACTGGCAGCTGAGAGGAGAGACAGGAGGGAATAATTTGGCATCAGACAAAGTTTCTCACACACAATACGGCAAATGTCTCCTGACCAGAACGAGTGACCTTTTCTGGGATGCTACGCCTCTCGGCTCCTATCACACATGGCTGGAAGCGCACACAGCCCCGGTGAAAACCGTGCAAAACACGAAGGTTTGTCTCCAGTCTGTGCACTCATTTTGTCCCCCGTGTCACGAGGGGACAGAGTCGCGGAGATGCACGGGTGGCAGCATTCCAGAAATATTTTAATTGAGGCTTAAAGCAGTTTTGTCCACCCTCGCCAGTGTCCCTCCATCATGCCTGGACACTGTGATCATGGACAGAGCTTCTATTGAGGATGAGGAGGCTATTCAGAGACAGAAACGTTTGCAGGCAGACAGACAGACAGACAGACAGACAGGGTGGTGCTGTATATCAGAAGTTGACTCTCTTACAGCGTTGTGAGTCAGCATTTCTGCTGGATTCTGTGCCCTGTACCCCTACAATGGTCAGCTTGTCAGTGCGGTACAAACCTCTGTACTCTAGGACTCAAAGAGAGGATCAGAGAACAAGTCCTCCTATCCATAATGAAATCTCCTTGACCTGTGCCAATATGCCAAGGGGAAGGAGGCGCAGCAGCAGGCGGGCTTGGTATTTGTTTTATTACTCTGCAGGTCTGTTTGAGGCGGCATCTATAAAGCCTTGCACGAGGAGCGGGAGAGAAGTCACTGTTCTGGTTACCACCGTCAGACAAGACCACGGTGATTAAAGAGCAGTGACAATGGAGCGCATACATAGATTCAAAGAGGAACACAAACATAGCTGGAGTGTTCCAGGCCATCCTGTTTATCCTACAGTTGTCGTCTACTCATCCTGAGCAGAGGACATAACTCCCATACCTCCAAACAGAGCTGGGCACCGGCTAACAGGCTGTTAGTGTAAATACAGCAAAAAATACGACTCAACTCCTGCCCTCATGTCTCCCATGATGCTCTGCAGATGGGCATGTTTTCAAGCAGGTCATGCCTCCCTGTTTTCACAGAGAAGAATGGCCAATCACAGAGCTCTACAGCGACCAGTGACACTCAGATGTTCTCAAGACACAGGAAACTTTTCTCTCTCTGTCTGAGTGCTCAACAGATGTCTTGGCGGAAAATAGCAACAATCCTTTCTCCCTGTTTTCACTATCTCCTCCTGTTCACTTGTGCCTGATGGTGAAGCTACCAATGAAAACCAGTAGTAGAGGAAAGAAGGGAGAGGTGATTGGCTGAAATTTAAGAAGTGAGGGGAAAAGGGCAGCGAATGTCAGAGGGGTGAAATGGAGAGTCAGAGTTTACACTGAGACTCCAAAGAACCGCAATCTTTTTCACTTCACAAAGGGGTGGCAGTGAGTTTTGACAGAGCAACAGTAGAGAGAGAAAAAAAGATAATGTAGGAAAGTAGTGTGACGGAAGGAAACCTAAACTGGCGTGTCATGTGATTTACTTACCTGTAAAAGAGGACAGTGGGTTGTAAGTTGCTGCTGAGGCGTGTATTTGCAACTATGGTACTACAAAGTACTATGAAGTAAGTAAGTGAAAGGCTTTTTAGGAGGCATCTGTTTTAACTTTTAGTCACCAGGTTATGTGATGACATACACCAATAAAGATAGTAAAACCAAAGCAGACATTTTGGTGCTCTCATAACATCAAGTAAGAGCAATTTATTTGTAAACTTTCCAGAATCTAACACTAGAGGGAATATATTTTCATTTTTCATTTTAATTAACTTAATCTTGACGTGACCTTTTATTCAGTACTTCTACTCCCATTCTGTTAGTTTTACCTTAACGGTGCGGTGGTGCCTGCGGGAAGGGTGGCAGCGCATGTTACTGGTGTTGCAGCAGCCCGTGCAACGTTTCACCTCCACGCAGGGCGGCCATATCAGAAAGTTGGCAGATGTCGGATCCACCTGGCTTCTGGGGATCTCGTAGATCACCGTCCGTGTCTTACACACCGCTGGGACCGCCTCCTCCACTGTAAGAAAAACAAAGAGAGGGAGTGTGAGAGGGTGGCGTGATTTGGATGCTTTCTAATGAACGCTCAGTGGCACGTTTTCCAGATGCGAGCACATGCTGCTGTATTGTTGTAATTTGTCCATTCTTCTCCAGGGTACTTCTTTTTGCATTCCTTCCGTGCTCATCTTTTGATGACTCACTTGATGTGGGAGCTGTTTGTCTTACCTCAAATCACACCCAACTTGCTATAATGCTCTTAAGGCGATCTGCTATCCAAAGAGCTGATCTCATATCAGCTAAGGAGCTTTGGGATAAAGTCAGTCAGACACAAAGAGACTGCAGCTTTGTTCAGACGCCTTACCGGGGTTAATGCAGCATGACTAGTCCAGAAAACCTTTACATCCAACAGTGAGAAATCTAATAATGGCCTGTGACCCTGCTGGCCTTGGTGAACGTAGGGAGGCAGTAAGCATTCCCTTCAGATTTAATGCCCCAGCAGGCACTCAAACCTGGACCTGTGACGGCGCATGTACAGTAAGATGCCATTATGTTGTAAAGTGGACATGTGTTTCATGTCCAGCCTGTGAGGGCTTTTGTAGACAGCTGCCTAATAGGTGCACTGTATTATTTACATTTGGTGCACCGTACATGTATGAAATCCAACCAGGCCCTTTTATCCCACATAGCATTTCAGGCTGCACTGTGTCTTAGCACTGATTGCAGACTACATGTTGTTCTCCACGCCTCGATCAGATATCGTACCGCGTGGCGCTTTATGAAGAAATCTGACTGAGAGCCCAGGCGCGTTGCAACTTGAACCCTGAATGCCTGGAATTTCCACGCTCAAGGATATATTTCTCTCCTGACGCGTGTGCCTTAGATCTCCGAGCCCTGGGCCAATTAAAAGACTTCATGTCAGATGTCCTGTTCAACCTCACACACTAGACTTGTTTCTCATGCTTCCTTGATTGCCATAAATACTGGTTTAATGTCTTCATTATGGTTCCTTTTATCCACACGAGAAGCCATATAAAAGCCACTAACTATTAGCCTTGTTTGCAATTAGCGTAAATTGATCGGTTCCCTCCCCTGGGAACTACTATGTCACGGGTGATATTTTTAAGTTGGAGGTTATTTTTGCAGCATCATGACAAAGTTGTGATGAATTCATTACTAAATGTAAACAAGAGTTTCTAAGCCACAGAAAGTCGCACTCACTGCTGGAACTCTATGAAAAGAGATTGATGATAATGTTTGGTGACATTTTGCAGGAAATGTTTGTTTGTTTGTCCTTTTCGTATCTGATGTTTATTGAAATAAATTTAAATGACACATCGGTCGTGTCCATTCCTACTCACCAAGACTGCGCTTGCGTCGGCTGTGGAGCTGGGTGCTCTTCAGGTCATTGTATTGACTCTGATGACGGGAGTAGTTCTTGTGGAGGCTGTGGTGTTTGTGGTACTTGTGCTGCTCGATCACATCATTTCCCGTACCTCATCAGAACAGAAGGCAGCCGTGTTAATGATGTCACACAGAGAGAAGGCAAAACACACAAACACAACAGACTTATTCAACCAGTAAATAAGCTATGAGTGTGTGACCGCCGCTGCAACTTTCACAGTGTCGATAGACTGTGGTTGCTGTCTGGCCAGCCACATCAGAAGGCCACCGTTGATGTTTTCATATACCCTGTTCCACAACAAACGAAAAGTCGGTTAGTCACGCGACCGTAATGACATGTTTGCTTCCAGATGGCTGCCTTTGCTGCGTGTAACACATTCCCTTTATGTCTAATAGGTCCCTACTGCATTGTGATTTGCGGGGCAAAGGGTCAGGCGACTGCTGACAATCACAAATTGGCGTAAACAGTCCACGGTGCAAACAGGGTGCAAACAGGAGGCCCAGTTTAACACAGACTTCCGTTTAATTGCGAGCTTTGTGTGTCAGCCGTTCTTACTCATTTATTTGGCCAGAGATTTCCCAGCAAGAATAAAGAACTGAGATGCAGGTGAGTCAGCACGGGCTTTCAAAAAAAAAAACAACAAAGAAAAAACAGCCAGCTTTCTCAGACACACTAAAAGGAACTAAAATGGTAATTTAACAGGTGGTACTCAGCCGCCATTATACCTGCTCCTAATTAGTGGTTTGGTGTCTCTCATTTAACCCAAAATGTTTGCTTTTGCAATCATTCCCCAGCTCGGAAAAGTACATGTTGTGCCGTGCTACAAAGCAGACTCATGAAAGTTTGCTAACTGCAGTCTAATATAGCCGGCTCAGTTAATTCACGGCCACGGTCACCTGATAAAGCCTGCTTGTTTTGGTCCCCACCCAGAATATGACTAGGTACAGAGTGCCACAGCAGCAATAAAATGATAAAAACCTGTTGGCAGGATACTGCCGCAGCAGAGTCTGAGTGTGTTTACTAAGTGGGTGGGTCACCCCGTCTGTATGTACAGCTAACCCACCCACTTGCCTGGACAACACAATCCTTCAGCGGTACAATCAACATCAACCTGCACTCTCAGCTACGCAAACTTCTCATTATCCTCCTTAACAAACTAAAACCCAATGTACACCAGCAACAAAGCTCAGCCAAAGGAAAACACATTCCACTCTTCCTGTTTCTTTGTGCCGTGGCACCAGAGTCACCTGAAGGGATTTTTGTTTCTCCATCTCTATCCAGTCTACCTTTGAGATTGGTTGTTTATTTTGGTTTGGATAAATTCTGTATGGGAATTTCCTTCTAGTCTCCGAGTCTTTACTTGTACACAGTCAGTCAGTGAGTTGGCCAGTGACCCAGAACCAAGTGCTCGCACACAAAGGATGTTTTGACTGAGCTGAGGAGTCAAGCTAGACGATAATGGATGGCACTAGGTCTGTGGAGCATATTGACTGATATTGTTTGTAGAGGAGTTCTAAAGGACGTGAAACGGCCACATACCAACACGGTCGTTGGTTACAAATGATTCTGTTTCTCTTCAGAAACAATGCAGCTGTCATTTGGCACATTAGAATCTCTGTCATATATCATCAAGTGGAAAAGTTTTTGAGATGAGTGTCTTGATGTCCATATTTATTTTTGAGACTTGAGAAAATGAGGCTGCATTTTGTGACCAGCTGCATTCGCTATTTGTTTTATATGGTTTACGGTCTGTAGATGCAGTAAATCTGTCTGTATTGGCAGTAAAGGACATAGAGTGTATGTGCAGACAAACACCTGCACCGTCTGCCCTGTCAAGTGGACTCATCGCAACAGCATCTTTTTAGAACTGCTCGCTGACAGAACACCCACTGTGCTCCTTTTTCAATCACACGTCCCTCTTTTCATCTTCCCCCATCAGATGAGGACAGCAGTAAGGGAGCGTCAAACCGCTGGCCACCCGGAGACAGCTTTTGTCAGAGTAGAGAGGGTATAAAAGGAGGGAGGGCATAAAGAACTCCTTTATAGACTGACAGAGTCCATTTTTCAGGCCAATAAAACAACCTTTCTGTTGTGGGTTTTTTTTTCTGTTCACAGGACGTTGGAAAGGGGAGAAAAGTGTAATCAGAGTGAGCTGGCAAAAATAATTAGACAAGACAAGAGAATAAAAAGGGACCTGAGAGGAAAGGTTAGAGGGTGGAGGCAGGAAAAAGTAAAGTGAGGTTCTTGGCTCCTCTGCTGGTTCCAGGTGACTAAGACTCAACAGTGACAACTCCAGAGTGTTGTCAAACAGACAAGACAGGAGAAAACAGGGCAGGAGACAGTCTAGAGCCATGAGTCACACTTTAGTGGTTGTCAAATTAATCACTCCATCAGTGAGACCTTTGACTCCTGCCCTCCCATTGTTCCATTACACCCCGTCCTCCCCAGCTGCAGTGAGAGTCACCGTAACTCTCCAGCTGCCTTTCCTTTTTTTGTGTCAACGTTTATTTAGGTCAAACAGCTTTTTCTTCAGAGTGAATGCAGGTACGAAGCTCAAGGTTTTTGTTTCTTAGAGACTGTATGTACCAACTAAACAGAAGGTGGACCGACTGCCAGCTTGTCAAAAGCAGAGCAGATTGCACAACGGCTTTCGGCCCGGGTGAGTGAAGTGTGGCAGGAAAACAAACTCCAGAATCCAGCTCCTACCTTCACCTCCATCCAATGTCAAGAGTCAGGTTCCCTTTTCTGTCAAAGTCTTTCACTGAGAGAGAGATAAGAGCAGGCGGGCTGGAGGAGGAGGAGGATGAGGAAGAGGAGGGGCGGGCTGGAGGAGGAGGAGGAGGAGGAAGAGGAGTGGGACAAGGTTGAAAAAGAGGAAAAGCAGGCAGAGGAGCACCTCAGGGGCCAGACGACCCTCTGCAGACTGCAGCAGGGAGAGCTCGTCTGTCACCCAGGGCTGTAGACACTGTCTCTGCATCATATAGACAGAAAAACAAGTGCAAAGGTTGCACAGAGCAACCTAGTGCTGGTGTCCTGACTCATCTGTCCTGAAACACCTGACTTATGAGGTCAGTCTGAAAAAGTCTGCGATAATCAGGATGTAAAGCAAGTGCTGCTTATGTAAAAACACACTTAGACCAATGAAGTACTAGACACACACAGAGTTTTTTAGACGCCATAGTTGTGCAAGATCTGACAGATATGGTCAAATATTCAGTATCTTTGGCTTTACGTCCCCTGTCCTGGTTGACATGCTATACCATGTGGCCTACAGCTCATTCTATACTGGTAGCTTTACTGCCCCTGCCATTTGCAACAAAAGCACTGAAAATACCCCTGTGGCTGGCGTCAAAGGTCTTTTAATGGGCAGGCCCGGGCTGCTGAGCTGGCCCTCAGACAGATTTATGTCCTCGTAATAATTATCAGCCTACTACTGTTACCCCGAAGCATTCCTCTGTTTGAAGAGAGACATTTTAATTCAATTATAAACACTTTTTGGCGCTCCAGAGATTTATTAGTGGGATCCAGCATAAGCCGATCACTGATGTGTGGAGCAGGTCTGTTTGGACTGCACATTATAATTAGCTACACTAATGGCGTGGGGCTAATTGTTAGTTCATAAGATAAGAAAATGTTAGCATACAGGAGGGACAGTGCTGCCTCAGTGCTGCTGAGCTGAATACAAGTTTTGAGGTTTCTAATGAGCTATGACCTGCGTGGCAGCTTACATCAGCGCGGGCTGTTAAAACAAATTAAGTAATTACCTATTTCTATCAACAAATGACTGGAGGAGACCTCTAAATGTGATGTATGGCCGGAGCCTGAGTAAATAGAGGCTCATGTTGAAGGGAAACAGCTTCTTCTAGCACACTCCTGTAACTTAATCTACTGTAAGACAGTCTGAGATAGACATGTCCGCTGCCACAGAAGACGCAGCACCTCCAAGAACACGAGGTAAAGAGGACCAGGCTGACCTGTTTACAGCACCACATAAGGTCCATTTGCTTCCAGGACGGTTTATGAGGGTCAGGAGAACGGGCGCAGATAAATGAGGAGGTCCAGGTTAATGTGTGCCTTTGTCGCATGTGAATCACACGCAGCTTCTGCCCCGCAAGCACGCGATAACTGCATTTGGCAGCTCCAAGATCTCTCAGCCATTTCCTGTACATTGCTGTGGTCATGAGCCAAACTCCACTGACACCCTGCTGCTAATTATGACTACCAGCGTGTGCCAAAACAACAGCTATCCCTCTGTCATTACACTTAAAACAACTTCAACATCTCACCTAACTGCACTTTATTAAAACTTCCTCGGCTTCCTCGGTCGGCTATTGGACACTGGAGGATTCATTGAACGGTTGCCCAGGACCACAGAGTTCATTCATGACTCACTAGCACACACTTGAAATCAAACCCTTGACCTTTTGGTTTGAAGGCAACCTTTTCTACTCATGGATTTACACAAGATGCACAGTCATTTTACAGACTTTTAATATACTGAGGATAGAATCATTAGCCTCCCCCAGGCTTTCACAAGATATTTAATGTTTTTTATAGAAATTATATGAGATTAGATATTTATTACGTTTTTGTATCGCCCACTGGATCAGTTTTGTCAGACGAAGACACTTGAATCTTCCTGAAGAAAACATCTCTAATAAATTTGAAATAAGTCCTTATGAAGACCCCCACCCCCCAGTTTGGAGTCAAGTCCTTGTGAAATATTGCATGTTTAAAATTCTTCTCCTCATTCACGTCATTAGAACTGTTTTTGGCACCTGCCTTTGCATGAGGAACATTTCTAATAAGGTGTCAGTAGATAAATGAAGGTGATAGATGATTTCATGAACAGATACATTTTTCAGTCAGGTGATTGATGCCCCCCACCCCCTCCCATTTCTCAACGACAGCACTTTGTGATGTGGTTCATTATATTTAGACACATTTTGGCCTGCACTTTTTTTTATCTAGAGTTCATGATCAGGAAATGAAATACTCCTATGTTCTTGAGAAAAATGCTGAAGGGAAAGTGCTGGTTGGTGCAAAAATAAGTATTTATAGCCATCAAAATGACTTTACAATATTTTTTATAGCAGTATAACAATGTGGTTCCAGATGATTTGTTTACTTTTCAGGTGTTCCGAAACACAAGTGTCACTAATGACCTGAAACATTAAGGGGGTCACTGGTGCGTAAACAGAACATTCTACAAAATAAAAAAGCTCTTTCAGGCTAAAAACAGGGTTTCTAAACACCGCTGCATAGATTGAGTATCTAGAACTCAAGTGATGAAAGTAACAAGAGGCAGAATTTACCTACGGAGTCTATCTCCAGTAGCCGCTGGAGGTCGCTGATGCTGTGGATTTCACTGTGGGACAGTCTGTCTATCAGCTCCTGGGGAAACTCCACTTCCTTCGGGGAGGGAGGGGGCAAAAAGAAATCAAACAACAGAGGAAAGTTACAGAGGTGTGTTGGGTCAGTGGCTGAACATGTGTTTATGAGTGTGTGTGTGTGTGCATTGTTTGTCTGCGACGGTTTTGCAACTATGTGTCTTCTAACACCGCGAAGCCCCTCCAGACAGTGCTACAACATACAGCGGAGCTGAATCCCCTCGTGGAGTTAATTAATACCCCTCCACCTCCCCATGATATTCTATACAAGTAGAATGTAACGTTTTTACAATAGTGAAATCGGCATAAATGTTTTTAATGAAGGGTTTTGAAAAGACGTATTAAAGACACATTTGACGGTGAAAAATTATACTGTGACGTGTAGGTGCATTGCCGAATTAAACAGCGGATTTCCAAATACACGTCCATGCGCTGAAATACTATTTTTCTACTCGTGTTTCTGTGTGGATTGAGAAATCATCCCAAAAACTGTTTGTTTTCCAAAGGGATTTGGAGGCCGGGACGCGCCGTGCCAGTGTAAACCTCAGCAGTGCACTTGTTGCGGCGCTGCACCTCAGCACCTCAGCTGGAGCAGCGTTACAGAAACTGTGCCTATTTATAACAGCCCGGAGCGGTTCCCATGAAGGAGCGTAGCCCAACCAAAACGTTTGCCCAGTTGGCGCTGGCTACTACTAACAGATTTGGCACAAAAGCCAAAAATAACTGCGATACGCGTCCCGTCATTTTGGTTCTCAAAGGCCTCAGTCACTGCGCCTCATGGTTACTGAGGCATTTTTCCCCTTAAACGCTGTTGTTTAGATATTGGTTCTATTTTAGGAAGTTCGGGAAAAAAAACCTTTTAGGACGGTTGAGATGTGCATAAGAATGAAAATATCTCTAAATGATCAAGATTACATGCTCATTCATTCTCGTCTATAATTAACTAGTTAGTAATTATCAAACTTTTCAATTTGCAGTCACATGTTGTTTTTTTCATGCATGCACAACTGCGCGCAGTGAGATCTTTGCACCTTCACAGGCATAAAAATCCCGCACTAGTGTTTACGACCCGGGGCCAAGTGGACCCCAGGCTGTGTGGCCCCTCACAGACTCCCAGACTAACCTGTAATAACTTTACCTCAGCGCTGACCAGCAGCAGGTACGCCGTCCACAGCAGGAAGTGACAAAGTGCAGCTCTCATCTCCCTTTAATTTTGACTGAACACCAAATGAGCAAAAAGTGTGGTGATGGTGTAGGAGCCTCAGAGTCGCTCCTGGCCCCACGGGATCCACAACCATCCCCTCAAAGAGGGGGAGAACCGGGGTGACAGAGTCAGACTCTGTAGGAAAAAAAAGCTGATTTAGGTAGAAACTGGACTCTGTTTTTTCTTTCTTTATTCACATTCAGCCGCAGCGTCCTCGTCACCAAAGCCCCACATAGCTCCTCAGGCGCAAGTGGAACAATCCCAGCAGACAGGGCTGACGCGCATTGCACTTGTCCTTTGCTCTCTCGCAAATTGGCCTTGAAACGAACCCTGCCCAGTCCACACACACACACTCGCTTTCTCTCTTCTTATATTCTGAACCGCAGCTAAGACGCGCGGCTGTGCCTTGAGAGTCCTCGGAGAGTATAATCCAAACGAGGAGCTCCTCTGAGGAGAAGACCAGAGTGGAGAAAGTTGTCCGTGCCGTGTCTTGCCCTGCTCCCCGGAGCCCGTGTGTCCTGCAGCAGCTCAGAGACTGTGTGAGACTGTGCAGTGAATGAAGTCAGAGCGCGTCTGAGCTGCTGTATATAGAAAAGCAGCAGCTTGGTGCCAGTTGCGCCTCCCCTCGCGTTTCAGTGATGGTGCATCTATTCTGCTGAGGGGAGCTGGTTGGTTGGTTGCTTGGATGACTTCAGACTTCAAGGGCATGCCCCGACCCCTCCCCCAGCCTGTGTATGTATATATATGCCCCCTTAGCATTGCTCTCGGTCCAGAGCTTTGAGCTGTAAATGATATTGATTATGTCCTAATGCCCCAAGTGAGGGGTAAAAAGAAAGAAGGATGCTGATGAGGAGATGCTTCACTCACATTTTCCTCAATGCACTGATTTAATTAAAGAATATGTAGCAAAATGAATTAAATATTTATTCACGTCTCAGTCATTTTTTAGGATATTAAATGATTTTCGTGACAGCAAGAAGCAGAATTATTTATCAGCCACACTCTTCAGCACATCTGAGTCAGCGGTGAGTCATGGGGTCTGAGGATGATGATGTAATAATAACTCATGTCCTCTTAATGGTTTGAAGAGATCATTATTTTATCATCTTCTTCTTCTAGTGTAAAAGGTGATGTAGCACAACAATTGTTGTATAGATCGTGGTCCCTATATTGTCCAAGATACACAACTCGTCTGTCTGTCCAGTTTAGGGCTGATTCAAAGTCTAAAATGGAGCAATAAGACAACTGTCCTGATCTCTTGACTTTCCCCCCTGCACGGATTTTCAACCAACCACAAACAGAGCTGAAAGCTGTCGTAATATGACAACCTTTTATTATTATATCAGGTTTCAAGCTGCAAAATGAACAAAAAGTTTCTGATTCAATCTTCTATAAAAACACTGAGGAACACCAGCACAGTGTTAGCAAGAGATAATCCAAGCGTTGTCATCCGTCCTCTGTCTCTGTCTTTTTGTTTTCACTAGAACAAACTGATCGATGTTAGTTCCATTTATATTAGCTGGTCAAGATGTTGTCCCACATCGGTTTGTCTTTTTCTTCGTTTCCCGCCTGCCATAAAGTTCTCTGGCGCCCCCTAGTGGAGGTGAGCCACCTGTAGACTAATTTAATGAAGGTAGTCCTTTGACAGTAAGACAACCATCATCTCATGCAGCGTTTTAGAACCTCCTGAAGATGAGTCCAGAACCATCTCATGTTTGAAGGTGCCAGGTCTGATTTTTTTCATGACAGGAGCAGATCTGAGCTTCAGGTCATTCCAGGCATGAGGTGGTGACCCCCAGCAGGTTGAGACATGTTGGAGCTTTAAACACTGGACAGTGGAGGTCTGTGCCTCATACAGTCACACTACAGTCAAACTATCCCCCCAACACCTATATGTGTGGCCATGACAGGAAGTGACCACTTATGTTCAGGTTAACGACAGACTGGTTCTGACCTGTTTTGATGAGGCTGGAGGTAGCATGGAGCTGTGCTGTGCTGGGAGGTCTGGGAGGAGAGCCCGGGGCTCTGATAAACGAGGCCTCTACTTGTAGCGGCACAGACACACAGACCCGGACCGAGACGATGTGCACGCCGTACACGCGTTCTCAGCCACAGGTTACAATCAGCGGGGAGCCATAGGTCAGTCAGCCAGGTGGTCTGCTCGCCCGGGGCCACTGAGGCTGGAAACAGTGTGTGGAAAAGAAGCTCCACAGCAGCTGGTGGAGTAATGGATGGAACTGTTTTGTTGGGCTGTAATGTTATTTATTAGTATGTTATATAATACAGGTGAATATTCCATTGTAGTAATATAACATCTGTACAGAAATAATTCAGTGCAACAACAAATATTTTTATCAACCTGGTAATGCAAAATACTATGTTTTGGACATATTTTAAATTAGAAATCCATTACAGGAATCTTAGTAAAGATAGCTTTATACGACTGCTTAAAAGAAATCCATTACAGGAATCTTATATATTTTACACCCTGTAAAGATAGCTTTATACGACTGCTTAATCATATAATGCAATCTGTTTGTTCTCAACATTTAAGTTAGCTTAAAGCCTGAAAAAGAGGGGAAAAACATGAGCAAAAAGAGCCTATAAGTAACTGAACAAAAAACTAAAAATAATTATAAATAAATAAAATAAAATATGAACAAAATTATAACCAGTCTTTACTCCAGGAACATCTTTTAGGTAACCAAAATAAAAAAAAAACAAAATGCTAAAAGTGTTCCCTGTCTACCACCACCATCAAACTAAACTAAATAGGGGAAAAAAAATAGGCAATAGATGAGGCCAAGCTAAATATCTAAAAATGTCAGAAACAGAAAAAGGAAACAAAAGAATGTGTAACCTGCTTCCATAATCACCTATTCCAAATATTTTCAAAGCAGATTCTCCTTTCTTTTAATGTCACATGACTCATTCATTACCAAGTCTTTATCTAAACCACATTAGTTCTAATGATGATGTTGTCATGGCTCCATTACAGGTCAGACTCACTGCCTGCCTGTGCACTCTCACTGAAGTGCATGATTCATGTTTGTTGTACTGTAGTTGTTTTCACTCCTTGTCGGGGAAAGTCCGAGTCAGAGAGAACGGTGTCAGGTGAAGTGGTGAGCAGAGGAAAACAGCAGGTGAAGATGATGCACTGCATTCCTTCTCCCCCCTGTTTCCATCTGGGATTTACTGTCTGCGCTTTTGTGCTTTTATTTAAATGAAATTTCAGGAATAACTGAGACACAGCAGGTGTTCAAGATATATGGACAATATATGGAGCACTACACTCTATATGATTAAATCATCAGCAAATATAGTACAGTGTCTGATGAAGGCTGAGCCTTGGAAACACCTGAATGACTTTTATCACAGTAACAGCACCACCTTGAGGTCACAGAAAAAAAAATTGTACGCTTGTATCCAAAGTGTTGCAGGTTAAAATCCTGGTTCTGGTAGGACTGTGTTGTGTTGAGCAAGCACTAGTAATCCAGTGTGTCACATCAGCTATAAACAAAGAGTCATTTCACCTAGAGGGATTATTGACACACTGAAAAAAATGTTACATTTTGTTGGAAGAGAATCACCTTCACTGTCGTTGTACAGATGATTTACATTTAAGAAATGATGAAATCCCTTATAAACAAGTGAAAATCTTGACTCAACAAAAGCCAAAAAAAAAGACAGACACCCAGAGTCACTCTGTGGGAGGAGAAGAATAAATGAAAACAACAGGAGTCAGAAATCATTGCCTTCCCTTCTTTTCAGCACAAGCTATTAGGCAAGATGTTTACTGGCAACTGAGGATTGTGTACCTAACAACATTAACCCATTACAGTGTTTTATAGATGCTGCTGTACAGTAATTCCAGCCGTAAAGACTTTGCGGAGAGGACTTGGAGATGACTCCTGGTTCTCTCCCCACTGGGCCACACAGATTCACCCTGTGAGAAGTGTA